AACAATGTAAGCGATGGAGACGATGCAAGAAACAATCTAAAGGGTAAATAAAATACATGTAAGAAGAAAAAGGGCAATGGAAAAAAAGATGATTCGAACAAGTTTTCGTACAACACTCTTCAGGAATCACCGTTGTACTAAAGAACAAAATGAGAACAAAGGAAATAATAATAGCAATCAAGGTAGGGTGACACGATACAATGACAGCACTGGAATGTCGAGGTGCGATTTCTCACAAAAGTGTGTAGAACACAAGGGTATACAAGTAAGAACTAAGCGTGACAAGTGTGTATCAGCAACAAAAACAAAAAAGTGAGAACGAATGATAATAATAACAATAATAAACAAGAAGGTGACAAAACACATTTAGGCACAAGTGGCAACAACGTTGCCACACTACACAAAAGAACATTATTTGAACAATTTTAGGGTAATAACACTATCTTTCTGGACACACAAATTCGGCTTATGAATGCGCTGACAAACAGCTTCCAAAACTTGTAACTGCAAAAGATAACCATGACGAGCACGGCACAAAACAGAAAAACAGGAATCAGAATAAGTACGACAACAGTCAGTACTAGAAACCAAATGATTGTATACTGAAGACTTATTACGAGACGGACGCACACAATCTCGACTCACGCGCACACCCTCACTCTCACCCTCACTCAGCTCACCTTCTCCCTCACTGTCCGAATCAGAACCTGCTCCGTCATCCACAGCGGTTCGACTCTCCTCCTCACTTGCATCGTCCTGCGTCTCACCTTCACCACCCACGCCAACCGTGGGTGGTGAAGGTGAGACGCAGGACGATGCAAGTGAGGAGGAGAGTCGAACCGCTGTGGATGACGGAGCAGGTTCTGATTCGGACAGTGAGGGAGAAGGTGAGCTGAGTGAGGGTGAGAGTGAGGGTGTGCGCGTGAGTCGAGATTGTGTGCGTCCGTCTCGTAATAAGTCTTCAGTATACAATCATTTGGTTTCTAGTACTGACTGTTGTCGTACTTATTCTGATTCCTGTTTTTCTGTTTTGTGCCGTGCTCGTCATGGTTATCTTTTGCAGTTACAAGTTTTGGAAGCTGTTTGTCAGCGCATTCATAAGCCGAATTTGTGTGTCCAGAAAGATAGTGTTATTACCCTAAAATTGTTCAAATAATGTTCTTTTGTGTAGTGTGGCAACGTTGTTGCCACTTGTGCCTAAATGTGTTTTGTCACCTTCTTGTTTATTATTGTTATTATTATCATTCGTTCTCACTTTTTTGTTTTTGTTGCTGATACACACTTGTCACGCTTAGTTCTTACTTGTATACCCTTGTGTTCTACACACTTTTGTGAGAAATCGCACCTCGACATTCCAGTGCTGTCATTGTATCGTGTCACCCTACCTTGATTGCTATTATTATTTCCTTTGTTCTCATTTTGTTCTTTAGTACAACGGTGATTCCTGAAGAGTGTTGTACGAAAACTTGTTCGAATCATCTTTTTTTCCATTGCCCTTTTTCTTCTTACATGTATTTTATTTACCCTTTAGATTGTTTCTTGCATCGTCTCCATCGCTTACATTGTTAATAAAGTAGTCCACATGTCACTTCAGCTCGTCCTACTTATTGCCATATTAAAATTATTGTCTCCTCGTCGAATTTAAAAAAAATTGTACTTCGAACTAGTTTTCGCACAACACTCCTCAGGAAGCTACGTTGTACTAATGAAAAACAATCCAGAAAGATACTAATAAAGAGAAATGGAGTTCGAAGAAACAACACCTATGAAAATGATAATCCTAGCACTAAGGTAATAACAGGAAAAACTGCGAAAGCACTTAACGAACTTGTAAGGACTACTAGTACATGTATACTGTGACACACGATATGACACCATGGCCAACCAGAGCCAAACAGACAGCTTAATCTTTATTAGTATCTTTCTGGATTGTTTTTCATTAGTACAACGTAGCTTCCTGAGGAGTGTTGTGCGAAAACTAGTTCGAAGTACAATTTTTTGTTCATCATTTCTTCCATATCACATTTTTTCTTTCTTCCATGTTCTTCACTGCCTTCGTATCCACTCGTTTTTTGAATACAATAAAAGCCTTTGTGAAATGTCGGTTCAGCTCGTTCTGTTGATCGCAATTCTAAAACTATTGTCGCCTCGACGCCTATTTACATATTAATAATAACTTCTATTTTTTAGGACTATCGAGGAGACATCCGGGAGCGATCGCGGAGTGCACGGCTGACGTTAGGAGAAGTCTATACCCCCCCCCCCCTCCCCCAGCATAAAGAGGGTCGGAACCGGGTCCAGGACCCATACGGTTCAGATGGTCTCAACAGACCGAGGCTCTACCAACCGTGTGGATGGGGTTGCAGATAGGTCACTGTTTCCGAACACAGTGTTCTCCACCTTGTTTCATGCTGCTGTCAAGCTATGACCACTATGCAAACAAAAACAAGGTTTATCTACATGTACTACACTGCTGGAAACTGAAATCCGACCCCCTGAGCGGTGGGTTCACATTCTTTGCGATGTGAGCGCAACGCTCAGGGGATCGGATTTCAGTTGTCAGCACTGTACTAGTCTACCATACATGTACATGTACATGACTGTATGGTATTACATATTTTTTGTAGATAATGTATACACAGCATACACAGCATACACAGCATACACAGCATACACAGCATACACAGCATACACAGCATACACAGCATACACAGCATACACAGCATACACAGCATACACAGCATACACAGCATACACAGCATACACAGCATACACAGCATACACAGCATACACAGCATACACAGCATACACAGTATAGGTCGTCATAGCCAACCCAGTACGGCAATATACTATGGCCGACCTTACTAAATTTCCTTGACCACAGTTTCGTAAAACCGATCTCGTGGTGTAGGAGATGACCTATCAATGACGCTCCCACGGGCCAGGGCCTAAACGAAGAGTTAAAAGTAACGAAACATCCAGGCATTTTTTAGGTTTACAATTTTTTTTCAAAATCAATACCATTTATTGAAACAAAGAAAAACATCCATGCAACCGACCAAAGGGTTGGTTGCATAATTTTCTTCTATTTATTCTGTCGCATGGGACATCTGGTTTCTACCTGCAGTAGGTCGGTGGAAACGTCTTTCCAATGCAATAAGATGAACCCAACACCCGTATATGCAAAGATTTTTTTGTGTAAAGATGTTTGAATCAGCACGGGTAACGTCACTCATGACCTACATGTACTTGTACATTATTGTTTGAATCAGCTCTACCACTCGGTATTGAGCACTCTCTTGGACAGACTGGAACCTCTCCGTTGTACATTCTACATGTAGGTACCCAATCTGCGGACAGCATGCTGTTTCGTCCTTTGTGGACTCGTCAGCGCAGCAAAGAGAAAATGAGGCCGAGCCTGATAGCATCATTATGAAGAATAAAAATTTCCAAAGCCAGATTTAAACCAGGCCCGAACGTACCTTGCCTGAGTGCTCAAACTGACACATCAGAGAGCTCTGCATAACGCACATAGCAAAGACACTACCCCCCCCCCCCACACAAGAGTGCTCAACTGCTACAAGAGCAGGAGCAAAATACATACAAGTAATTATTATTATAGGTTAATGCCAAGCATAGCAAGGGCCCCGAGCTGGCAATGTAAACTGTTTAAAAATCAATTACCTAAACGCAACTCTGTAGTGTAGCCAAGCGTGAACTAGCGATCTATACATCAGTGCAGAATTTTGATGAAAGTCGCAAGCAAACTCCACGCGGATTCGTACTTCGTGGAGATAAAATACATCGCCGCATTTGTGCAGGAGTGAGTGGCTGTCCATGTTTCGGCATTGAATTCGTTCCCAGTAACTGATGTGCGTGGGTTGGCCTGGTCATTTCTGATCGAGAACTATCAGAAAGAAGCAGACACCCTTTGAGTTAAGAAAGATTTGTCTTAAAGAAAGGCTCCTTTCCTTTGTCAGTTTTGTGCCGTTTTTTCGCACTCACTGACTGCATGTACATGTATAAGATCTCGTTACGTTGGTAGACAGTTAGTTATAACTCGTAACATTTTGTCGTCCTTTTCACCATAATTTAATTGGCTCAACATCCGAGTTTTGAACTTAAAGAAAGAAAGTGTTATTGTCGTCGTCGTCGTCGTCGTCATCACTGTTCTTGTTTCTTGTTTTCGACTTTATTTATAGAGGGAATCAAAACCGGCACACGCCTAATAACAATAATTATGCCCACTGAAAGGGTGACGTTTTACATTTAACAGGCTACATGTATGTTTTATTATTATTATTGTTAAGCTTTCCTTTCGATCTTGTCTCTTATTGTTGTGTACTTTCCACAATATTGTGTTGCATTGAAATTAAAAAATTAAAGGGTGACTTGGGAATTATGGCAACCCACTTATAAATGTAGGTCGGCACCTCGACTTGGAGACGGAGTGGAGCAGAGAAGTGCCCCCTTATGCTGTCTAACCGGAACTCAGTCACTGCTTGAAAGTAACCTGCAGCAGGTATTGCACGAACAGCACACCATCTCCTGTATTCGACAATATCAATACACCGGTAGGCCAGATAAGGACCGTGATAGTTCATACTTGGCATTGGCGGATAATGCTCGAAAAGGGGGCAGATTCTGCTCGAAAAGCAGTGAAATTGGCAGAACCATACAAACCTTATGGCGGGCAATTCCTCAAATTCTGCTCCATTTCTTTATCCACATACCCAACATGCATGAAACGTACCAGAAAAAGTACAGAATTCTGCCAATTCTTCTGCCGGCATTATCCACAAAGGCCTAACAAGCGGAACAAGAAGACGAGAGAACACAACAAGAACACAAAAGAACGCCGAAGCAGCCCCACAAGAACACACAACAACGCCATGAGAGCACTCTACAAGAACACACAAAAACGCCACAAGAACACGACAGAACACCGCAGGAATGCGTTCATTCTCAAATTTTATTCAGACATTTCGAATACACGTGAACGCATAGCGTGAAAATCAAGGAGCGGCGCAGCAAAGACCTGCTTGCTTCTAACCTCTCCGGAGGAAGACACCCTATTGTTTGTCCGACTCTTCATCCTCATCATGGGGATCGCTATTTGCAATGTCTTCTCCACAAACGGACGTTCCGATAGGATATTGGCTGACTTGCTCTATCATCGGGATGTTGATGGTCTCATTACAGATCTGCACAGGGTACTGTGAAGCATGCTGTGGCAGGGCGGCCCGCATCCCACCATCGCTCAGCAAGAATCCGAACAGCAATCCGAACACGAACATCCTGACATGCTCTGACGATAATATGGTGAAGGCCTCCTCTCCGTCATTGTATTCCAGGAAACCCAGAATGCCGTTGATACCGAAACGCAAGAACCGTAGGTAGATCTCATCCAGTACCTGTATCAGCAATGGGTTGCAGTTGGGATAAACCGATTTCAAACTCGCACTGGGCGACAGCACGGAAGCAAGCCTGGGATCGAACACCAACTGTCCGTCGACTTCTTGCAAGAAATCGGGCGAGGTGGAGGCAGTGTCGTAGGAGTCGATTGGCGTGAGGACCGCAGCCAGTTTCGGGTGGAAAACCAACTGTCCATTGCTGTCCAGCCAGTAGAGCTTGAAGTCTGGAACAGGAGGAGACAATGCAGACGGTGGCTCGATGTTATTGTCATCATCAGATGACGTTGCCGTGGAGGTGGATTCCGTGCACACGTCTCCTGACGCGTTGGATGTGGACGCGGTGGTCGGCGCAGTATAGTATTCATCAGACGACGAATTTACGCTGGGTGATGTCGCGCACTCATTGTCCGTCGATGTCGCTGGGGCTGCTGCACACGAGGATCCGTCCGACGCAGAGGAGACTGTGCTGGAATATGACGACTGTGCCTGCAGCATCCGCACTTTCGCACGCATTGGCGGCTGGACGTATGCCATCGGAAGCCCATCTTCACAGTTATCTTCACACTTATTGTTATCCTCAACTGCTCCGACACTTTCGCATACATCTCCTTCCTGCTCCTGAGACCCGGCCACGGAGGTTTCCTCGTAGTCCTTTCGGGATCCGTCTTCCATGGTGTCCTCGATGTGCTCTTGGATTCTGTCTTCGAAGGTTTTGTCGTACTTCTCTTGGGATCCTTCTCCATTGGATTTGCATTTATGGATTCTGTATTCGAAGGTTTTGTCGTCCTTCTCTTGGGATCCGTCTACGGAGGTTTCCATGTTCTCCTCTTGGGATCCGTCTACGGAGGTGTCCTCGCAGTCATCTTGGGATCCGTCTACGGAGGTGTCATCGCAGTCCTCTTGGGATTCGTCTACGGAGGTGTCCTCGCAGTCCTCTTGGGATTCGTCTACGGAGGTGTCCTCGCAGTCCTCTTGGGATTCGTCTACGGAGGTGTCCTCGCAGTCCTCTTGGGATTCGTCTACGGAGGTGTCCTCGCAGTCCTCTTGGGATTCGTCTACGGAGGTGTCCTCGCAGTTCTCTTGGGATTCGTCTACGGAGGTTTCCTCGCAGTCCTCTTGGGATTCGTCTACGGAGGTGTCCTCGCAGTCCTCTTGGGATTCGTCTACGGAGGTGTCCTCGCAGTCTTCTTGGGATTCGTCTACGGAGGTGTCCTCGCAGTCTTCTTTTGATTCGTCTACGGAGGTGTCCTCGCAGTCCTCTTGGGATCCGTCTACGGAGGTGTCCTCGCAGTCCTCTTGGGATCCGTCTACGGAGGTGTCCTCATTATCCTCTTGGGATCCGTCTACGGAGGTGTCCTCGCAGTCCTCTTGGGATCCGTCTACAGAGGTGTCCTCGCAGTCCTCTTGGGATCCTTCTACGGAGGTGTCCTCATAATCCTCTTGGGATCCTTCTACTGAGGTGTCCTCGTAATCCTCTTGGGATTCGTCTAATAAGGCATCCTCGTAATCCTCTTGTGATCCGCCCAGGGAGATATCCTGGTGATCCTCTTGGGATCCGTCTACGGAGGCGTCCTCACAATTCTCTTGGGATCCGTCTACGGAGGTATCCTCGCAGTCCTCTTGGGATCCGTTTACGGAGGTGTCCTCATAATCCTCTTGGGATCCTTCTACGGAGGTGTCCTCGCAGTCCTCTTGGGATCCGTCTACGGAGGTGTCCTCGCAGTCATCTTGGGATCCGTCTGCGGAGGTGTCCTCGCAGTCCTCTTGGGATCCGTCTACGGAGGTGTCCTCGCAGTCATCTTGGGATCCGTCTACGGAGGTGTCCTCGCAGTCCTCTTGGGATCCGTCTACGGAGGTGCCCTCGCAGTCCTCTTGTGATTCGTCCAATAAGGCATCCTCGTAATCCTCTTGTGATCCGCCCAGAGAGATATCCTGGTAATCCTCTTGGGATCCGTCTACGGAGGTGTCCTCATAATCCTCTTGGGATCCGTCTACAGAGGTGTCCTCTTGGGATCCCCCCAGCGAGGTATCCTCGTAATTCTCTTGGGATCCATCTACAGAGGTGTCCCCGTAGTCCTCCTGGGCTCCCTCTCCGCACATTACCTGATAGTTCTGCAGGGGTCCCTCTCCGGAGGTTTGCTCGTAGTCGTCCTGGGATCCGTCAAGGTAGGTATCCTCGTAATTCTGTTGGGATTCATCTCCGGAAGTTTGCTCATAGTCGTCCTGGGCTCCCTCTCCGCAGATTGCCTGATAGTACTGGAGGGGTTCCTCTCCGGAGGTTTCCTCGTAGTCCTGCTGGCATCCCTCTCCGGAGTTGTCCTCGTAGTCGTCCTGGGATCCCTCTCTGGAGGTTTCCTCGTAGTCGTCCTGGGATCCCTCTCTGGAGGTTTCCTCGTAATCGTCCTGGGATCCCTCTCTGGAGGTTTCCTCGTAGTCGTCCTGGGATCCCTCACTGGAGGTTTCCTCGTAGTCGTCCTGGGATCCCTCACTGGAGGTTTCCTCGTAGTCGTCCTGGGATCCCTCTCTGGAGGTTTCCTCGTTCGGTGTTGAGGCCGTTCCGCTCGAAATCCTCACCTTTGTGGTCACCGACACTTCCACATTCGGCTTGCTGGTAGCTCTTGATGCCGCGACAGTCACGAACACCTGTACCTTGGGCCGTCCCTGCGCCGGAGGGGTTTCCCAATGGTCGCGGGGCATAAAATTACTAGAATTGTTTTTATTTCCCATCGGATTCTGAGATCTTGTACTGGGATAAAAAAAGATCGGGAAGGCCGTCAGCAGAACTTTTAGCTAAATAGACTGATGTGGCAATCGCGTCTATCAGTGAAGTTCGTATCAGCAAGGTGTACGTTATATACAACGTCCTGTGTTGCATTGGCGCCAGTACACATCGGACGATAAGTGCACGTGATACATGTATAGGTTGCTTCAAAAGCGTACCAAGAAACCGTACGCATGGTTGTGCTTTTTGCCTTCTTTTCTACGTAGGAGTATTGGTATGTGTGAGGTGCGGACGTCTGCAGATCATCCGGGGAAGTGTTCGTGTGGCACATGCACATGTAGTAATCAAGCGGATTGCTGATGCGCTTGCTTCTAAGCGAAAGGAGAGCTACAGCAAGGTCGTTTGTTGTTGTTGTTGTTGTTGTTGTTGTTGTTGTTGTTGATCTTTATTTTACTTCGCAAGGCCAAACGGGCATTGGCGCCCAATTCAATGGAAGCAAATTTCAAAGGGGAGAGAGAAAGAGAAAGAGAGAGATAGATAGATAGATAGATAGATAGAGAGAGAGAGAGATAGAGAGATAGAGATAGATAGATATAGAGAGGGAGGGAGCGAAAGAAAGGGGGAGAGAGATACCGAGGCACAGAGAGGGAAGCAGTGAGGTTAGGGGCATCGGAGGGTGGTGGGCGCATCAACGTGTGGTTGAAGGTAGCAGCGAAGAACAAATTGCTATGTAATTTAGTCTGATAAGCGATTTTGCAGCATCAAAAGAGCGATTTTGCAGTGTCAACAGAGCGATTTTGAAGCGTCAACAGAGGGAACACAAAGAGTTCATAGGTGCACAAGCACGCCATTAGAGTAAATGACGTAGTGCGTGGACGGGCAAAGTCAGACAGAGCATTTATTGCAAGGTGTAGGAGTTGGGAGGCAAGCTAAAATTGCTGGGCAGCCTTGATCTCCCTTACACTCCTTGGGAGCGCGTTCCAGGCCAAGGCTGCCTGAAAGGCCAGGCGAGATCTGTCGGCTTCTGACTGTGCCGAGGGGACAGTGAGGCCCCTGGAAACCTGGTGCCGGGTGGTGCTACCAGCTGATGGTGAGAATAGGTCCTGGAGGACACTGCTGGGTTTCCCATTGACACAGCGCCACACCAGGACGAGCCGCTTCTGGGCTTAACACTCGCGAACTCTGTACAGGGACATCCGTTCGAACAGAGGCTGGGCAGAGGTGTGGGGCGGCAAACCGTATACTGCTCTCACCGCTCGGTTCTGTAGTTTGTTGGATGCGTTGCTGCTTGGCTTTCTCTCTTGCTAGGCCTGCCATCCGATGTGTTCGAGGATCACGCTCCGTTCGCCGTCGTCACTTCGACCTCGCGCCTATCGACCTCGTCCAGGCTGAGGCGCGTCTGCCTCGGTATTAGACTGTGTTCACAGCCATTTTAGCTCATTTTCTTCCTGTTGAGGTTGCGCTTGTGACGTTGTGTTCATTTTGCCTGTACACGAGGCTTGGGTATGTTAAAAATACCAACAACAAAAAAGTATGAATGCCGCAGACATCACCACGCAACATGACAATTTGTTCAAGGTTTCAGATTGTGTGTTTCCGGAATCGATTTCCAAGCTCCGATCATCAGTGGAAATACGGAACTAAAGTGATCAAGGGAAAAACAAAGGTTGAAAATCCAAAGAAGTGTGACACATGACGCGTAAGTATTACAAAAAGTGAGGGCTAAGATAAAGAGTAAGTGTGACAAATGGGCATGAACGGTGCAGAAACAACTCATGAACAAGGGGTGCAAACTCACGAAAATAACCTAAGTGCTACAACATGTTCTTTTTGCTTACACAAATCGGGCTTTTTTGTAATACTTACGCGTCATGTGTCACACTTCTTTGGATTTTTAACCTTTGTTTTTCCCTTGATCACTTTAGTTCCGTATTTCCACTGATGATCGGAGCTTGAAAATCGATTCTGGAAACACACAATCTGAAACCTTAAACAAATCGTCATGTTGCGTGGTGATGTCTGCGGCATTCATACTTTTCATAGCTACATGTATTATTAAACTTGTATCTCCACATAGATTATTTGAACAAAAAAAACCAAAAACGGTACTTCCTTCATCCTCTGCTCGTTGTCCCGTAGAATGCTCTAAATACGTGAACGGCCGGGTATGTTTCAGTTTATGGTTGCTAGCCCATTTTTGTGCTGGAGTATATCTCCATTGTTAGCAGTATTACCAAGAGTACATTACCCCCCCCCCATGCTCTTGGTATTATCAATGGTACCAAGAGTATGTACATGTAGATGCAGATGGGAGAACTCTGACTACCGGTGACAGTGCTCCGTGCACGGCGTGCAGAGCTTAGTACGTGTGCAAAGGAAAATCCGGCGAAACAAACAGTGATTACGAGTGTCTCTACTCACGAGTTTCATGCTGAAAAGCAATCATCAGGACCCTGGGGCTATATTCGGGATAATCCGATTGTGTGGTCTTAGTCACTATAGGTGTTGTCCCATGGCAGATCCCCCCCCCCCCGCCCCGCCCTTAGTTGGTTCGTCGACTACTTGTCCGGCCGCAAGCAGCAGATCCTCATCTCGCCTTCAACCAGCCCTGCCCTCGCTTGCACCTGCGGAGTGCCCCAAGGCTCTGTCCTCGGCCCTGTCCTCTTCAGTATATACACACGAGATGTCCCTTTGGTTTCCTCGCCTGTGCCAAGTGTACAATTTGCAGATGATATAGCCCTGTACGACTCCCAGGCCTCAGCGGCGGAAGCGTCCGGAACCCTCACCACAGCGGCAACTGCTCTGGCTGGTTGGCTGAAGTCCCGATGCCTCATCTTGAACGCTGCCAAGAGCCAGGTTCTGACTATCTCTCCCCAGCAGCATGTACAGGAAGTAACAGTCAAAAGCGGCGACTGTCTCCTCCCTTCAGCGTCTTCTGCGCGCTACCTCGGCGTTCACCTTGACAATCGCCTAGATTGGGACACCCATGTAAACTATGTGGTTACTAAGGTTGCCAAGAAAATTGGCGCCTTGTGGCGGGCACGCCGAAGCCTATCAAGGCGCTCTCGTCAGGTGTATGTGAAGGCGGTCGTAATGCCCTACCTGCTTTATGGCTCCTGCTGCTTTTCAGCCGCAATGCGAGAGGGTCAACTGAAACGACTGCAAACCGCGCAAAACAGAGCCATCCGCTGTATCGATGGCAACCCGCCCCGGACAGCCATGCAGCCGCTGCTCACTGCTCACTCCCTGTACCGTGTCAGCGAGCTCTACAGGCAGAAAATGTTGATCACCATCTGGCGGTGCATCCACGCCCGCACCAGCCCTGTGCTCGCCCAGCTTCTGACCCCGGCACAAGGCACCCCTACCCGCCATCAGCAGTCAAATGGCCTACTAAGCCAGGCAAACCGTAGCCGCCGCGCGGTCAGCGGAGATTTTCTGTTGCTGGTGCCCTGATGTGGAACGCTCTCCCTGGTGAGGTCCGCACAATTACCCGTCTGCCTGAGTTTAAATGAAGCATGCATGTGTACCATACGCCTGTAGGGAGTAGTTCGAGTTGCTGCTGATCGCTCTGCTCTCCCTTCCCTTGCAGTTCAGTAATTCCCACGTGGTATCACAGATACATCGTATTATCTCTCTCTCTCCCCCCCCCGTTTACTCGCAGTTATTGGTATCCTATTCTCTTACTATGTGCTTCCATAGCTTTTACTATGTTCTTCCATAGCCACTTCTAGGCTAAGCCTTCGCCGTCATTTTATTGGGTCGTCATCCCGTTTGAATGTGCGAAGTGAAATAAAAACCAACCAACCAACCAACCAACATGCAATGCTAATGACCAAGATTACATAATCCACGGACCAATATTACATAATCCACGGACCAAGAGTACATAATCCACGTGTGGTTACGTACTCCTGGTAATACTGAGAACCACATTTTTTTGAAGGATGGGGAGAACTTCAAATTCAAAGGAAGACTCGGCGAAGTGGACTGCTTAAAAAGAGAAACAATGCCAGACGCACCAGGACTCTAACCCGAACCTTGCTTGTCATGAGCAATGCTCCAATCAATTGAGCTCAGTATTGGACAATGCGGAAACACAAGTTTCAATAAGCATTACATGTACCATGATGAACCTGAGTTGCTGAGAGTTATTTCAACAGTGCACTATTGAATCAGGCGTGTGATTGTGGCCAGCGTTGGAATGTCTAAATACGAGTACATGCACAACATGACTGTACTCGCATGTGAACAGGTCTGAATCAGAACACGTTACAACATAGCAGGAATAATAATTATACTTTGAAGTAATACTGTGTACATGTACTGCGAAGTGATATCACGTGACAAACAGGGCCAGATCTTCACCATCATGCATGCACTTGCATCATCCACATCGTATCCATGATATTCAGGTGTGGCAAACTAATGCTCGTGCGATCACGTGGGGGGGGGGGGGGGTGTTGAAAGCAACCGGGACAGAAAGGCGCGTGCTCCTCGACGGCCAGGCTAAGGATCCTTCTTAGGGCTAGATTGGGCTAGAGGGACGCCAAGTCCTTCCATTCCTGACTTAAACTCATCATCCGAGTCCAGGATAGTGGGTGAGATAATCACATCGGAATCATCAAAAGGATCACTGAACAGATCGAGAGACGAGCCACCCGAAAACGTATCCTCCGCCAGAATTTCTTCACTTGATACGCTCGCGTCAGGATCGCTTAGGATGACAGTCGAGACGGTTTCGTCCAAATCTGCCTCGTCTTCCTCCACGCCGACAAATTCCATGGGAAAGCCGTTGTGCTTATCAACCTTGAGGGGAATCGGGGAGAGGCGAGCTTGGTGCGCCACGTGCTTAAATTTTGAAATCGAATCTGACGTCGTGCTGCTGTCGGTGGAATCAGTGGAATCAGCGGCACCAGAGGCAGTGGGTTCCACAATAGCCATGGGTCTCACAACAGCCGTGGGTTTCACAACAGCCGTGGGTTTCACGGCTGCAGCGGGTTTCACGGGAGCAGCTGGTTTCACTGGAGCAGCGGGTTTCACTGGAGCAGCGGGTTTCACTGGAGCAGCGGGTTTCACTGGAGCAGCGGGTTTCACTGGAGCAGCGGGTTTTACTGGAGCAGTGCACTCCGGATACGTAGGTTGGTCCCGTTCAGAACCCTCCCCAGGCCCTGCAGTAGACTTCGGTGTGGAGGCCTTTTCGGTGCAAAACTTTACCTTTGCGGCCACCGACACTTCGACATTCTGTTTGCTGGTAACTGGAGGCGTCTCAACAGTCACAGACACGTGTACCTTGGGACATTCCTGCGACTGCGGGGATTTCCCATTGTCGGGCTTCAAATTGCTAGGCTCGCTTTTCTTACCCATCGGAGTAGGAGAAATTACTGATTAGAATAATGGTTGAAAACCAAAGATCGGGAAGCCCGTCGGCATAGTGAATATCTAAATAGTCGGATGTGGGAATCTGGCAATAGTTGAAGTGCGTATCAGCGTGTTTGCTTCTGATGTGTACAATGACAAGCCTATGATTGCCAGAGAATACGATCATATTATTATGATCATACATATTATACATACGTCATGTACATGGATATGCAGGTTGCACGCATGCATGATGATGTTGATGGGCGTACAGTTTCACAATGATCCACCTCTTGTACGGGCAAATTATACTCAGGCAATCCTTTTACATGGACACGATTGTGCATGTACATAAGAAATGTATTCAATCTGCAAGAAATGCATATCAAGTTCCGCCTCATTTTCTCTGTGCTGCGCTGAGGAGTTCAGAAAGAACGAAACAGCATGCTGTCCGCAGATTGAGTCGAAATGTTTCATGACGTGACGGCCAAAAGTTCCATTTAAAAATCCGCCAAAGTTTCTCACCGGCCAAAACTTGTTCATTTACAGTAGAGTGGTTTCATATCTTGGTCACGTGATTGCATTTGTGTATAAAGTGATCATGTCATGTGGACAGCAAAAGCAACATGGCCGAAATCATGTGACCCATAGGGCCATAGATGCAGGGTTTGTGTGGAATTGGAACCAGCATGGCTGTCCCGTGTGGTCCCTTGATTCCCACCTTCCAACCCGGGAAATATTTAGATTTTGATAAAAACGATTCAAAGCCTCTCAATTATTTTGTATTACTTGAAGTATAAATATAAGAATAATAATAATACAATATACTTTCACAGGCAGGCAGGCAGGCATAGTGAGATGGTCTAAGATCATGATTGAGAAACAGAGGGTACCAGGTTCAAGTCCTGCTTGGAAGCGGAAGGATTTTTTCCAGCCGTGCTGCGACCCACAGTTAATTGGGAACTCGTGGCCTGGCACGAGGGAAACATGGATGCAGTGAATGGGATTTCGGTCTTTGACCACTTTGTGGTGGGTCTGATCTACTCACCTCCCACCGCTTAGGAGCTGCATCTGCGCCTTGATCCAAGAGGGTGGTGGCGTTCCTGCGGATGCGGAAAACTGGGCCTTTGGCCGAGTCTCACGCGAACCGTGAAATATATATATATACTTTCACACAAAACAAGCTCGGTGCAGCACTAATCACGGCAGGGGAACCCGACCCTCCACCATCGCCAACTCACGAAGCATGTGAACTGGACGGTGACGGGCCGACCGAGCACCCCGGACACACAATACAGCGGAACGTGGCAGAGCGAAAGACACCCAACAGCGATAGTATCCCATCAACGACGAATAGCTACCTCCCGAAGATTGATGGTCCCTTGATACATGTGAAACCACTCTATACCAGAGGCAGGATGCGTATGAGTCTATCTGGTGCGAGTCTATCTGGTGCGAGTCTATCCGGAAAATGCTTGCATGAAGGGAAAAAAGTAGCTTTTCGTCTCCATTCCCGAGATAGCGACAGATGCGGCAGATGCAGCTTGTGTGAGGAATGTATTTTAGCTGTGGAGGATGCCCAATCTCTCGAATACGAGTACATGTACACTGTACGGGTTGTGTTCCAAACAGGTAGACGTAGAAATGGCATGTGAATATTGACCGGAGTGGTATTCCCTCAACTATTATTAATTTCACTTATGAACACTTGGAGCAGTAGTGTTACTAACTCGGATACTGAGCCAGTAACTACATGTGTAATGAAAATAGAGTGGATAGTTGCTTCATAACTAAGACGTGCTAGAGCTGGCTGGCAATTGGTGAATGGTGGTAGAACGTAAGTACGGTTGGTCAGTGTCGTGCAATGTTATCGCACGAGCTGATTGTCAAGTAACTGGTGGTGTTAGTGGATATTACAGCGCCACTTGTGGTCCATTGGTCCTTTTTACTTCCTGTTCACCGACCTCCGGCCATTTGTACCAATGCATGCTCTGTGTGTGCTCCCATTGAGCACTAGTACATGTGGGTGGCCGACTGGTCCACCGTGTAGAATTACATGTACTGCAATGATAGTGTGTTCTGCGTCTTTTGAGGGCATGCTTGGTAAATGTCATTTTCATTATTATAATAACGACCTACTTCTTGCGTAGGGATGTCAATTGAATAATTATCCTACCCACTTACTGGCTGTCATCGCTTTCATAATATCGTTTGACATGCGATGTAAGCTAAATAAACAACAACAACAACAACAACAACAACAACAACAACAACAACAACAACCCACGGTGGGAATTCACCGTATTGTGCGACCGAACCTTTCAAAGTTCTTATCTTGACTTTTCCTTTTCCACCCGGACTCCTCCTTCGTTCCCCTTTTTCCTCTCTACAGCTATTCTCTTGTACCTTATTGCTATTATTCACTGATTTGGGGCTTTGTATCATCATGACATTGTACTATGTGTACACGGATTATGGTGGCTTCAAAGAACATGGCGCATGCACGTGGGTTTATGCCATACTAGTATATGAATGCAGCCTTGTACCCATGCAGCCACATGTACATATACATATACATAATTATACATATATCAGGTTCGGCCTCATTTCCTCTGTGCTGCGCTGACGAGTCCACAAAGGACGAAACAGTTCTGTCCGCAGATTGAGTAATTATACATATACATATACATATACATATATACTTACACTACAACATACAGTGATGCAGCCTTGTACCCATGCAGCCATACATTATACACTTACATACACAATCATACATATTACATGTAGGATTGTGTGTGAGAGTATAGAGTTGCTGAGGAAGTTTGGCGTATGCAGTAGAGCTTTTTCGGGGCCTTGCCATGCATGATCAATCGGTGTAGGCTGGCCAATATTAGAACCCGGCTATTAACGTTATATCAATATTTTGACTTTTAACTTCATTCCCATGTGTTCGGTTCCATTTTAAATAATTATAATCATTATTTACACCCAGTGCAGTGCACACAAGGAAAGCTTTTGTCACGGAACGGAGAGGTCGGTAAATGGCTCCAAACATCGAGCATATCTTCGTCACTTACGGAGATCCCGAGATTGGTGACAGTACTGAGCACCATGAGGGCTCATCGCACGACGAGGAGAGGTTCTGGGCAGAGCTGGCAGGGAGACTCAACGAAGCCAGAGGGCGACCCAGCGCGGAAGCCTTGAAGCTGCGAAATAAGTATTTCATCATCGGCTGCTGGATAATAGGTTTGGTCGTCGGTAGCGTAATATTATCCATAATCGCGGGACCCAGGTACATTTGAACCTGATCCATTCGCATCCATGCTGCAGGATAAAGACGATTAATTTTGGTCAACGCGCGCGTCCATGCAAGCAGCATTCCCGCATATCGACATGGATAGCTCACGTGACGAGCCCGGCTTGAGCAGAAAGATTTTTTCTCGAGGAAAGCACAGGACAAGCTACTCCACCAGCACATAGGCCCTGGAAGAATGACTCTTGAAATACAGTATCAATATCGCAACCAAGAGGACAAACTGCGCGGTAAACCACCCATGCGCCCATGAGCGATAATCCATGCAATTCAGCTGAAGGCTTTGTTGTTATTGCTTTACACTTTAGTTATAATGGGAATCAAAAGAGGCATACGCCTGATCGCAAGAGTAAATAAGCTCACGGAAGCTTGTACTACTCTTGCTAATAACAATGGACCCACTGGGGATTTGTGTAAAGGATGGTGTGAAAAAGCAGAGATAAGAAAAAGAAAGAAAGAAAATGAAAGGTTGGTTTTAACGATCAGATATCAATCCAGTGACCTATGGAAAACCCTACGTGGCGGATAGTGTATACTGCAAGGCTTGGGATTTGAAATCCAAATACATATTTGAACACTTTGCTTCTGACGGTCATCTGTTCCACATAATGGCTCCAGCGTGCGTTATGCGCTTAGCGGAACGAGCAGTGCTAGCAGGTGGGTCAACAAGCAAGTTGCTTTGGCCTCGCCTCCACGAGTGCGGGTTGTTGGCAGGACAGCAAAAACGGGTTGAAATACATGCACCATGCAAACAGTGCTATGATGAAAAAAAGCATATTCAAGGAAAGCATATTCAAGTGCACATAGACCTGTAGATCACATACATTCATTCGACTCAACAGGTGAACATGGCTGGTCCACTGTGGAGACTTGCAGACTGCCCGAGCTGCACGGTTGAACAGCCTATGCACCAGTTCTTCCTGAGCAACTGACAAATACGGTTGGTAACTAATAGAAGAATTCTGGCAAAGTGATAGATCTGAAGTAGGTGGGTCGCGCCGGTCGGCGTGGATCATTGTGGATAGAGCAGCAAGGAAGCATGTCGTCGCAGGACAACAATTATTTTTCAGGCAACGCGACGGGCAACATGGTCCTCCATTGTGGTCCAACTCATGTTCGAGTCAAAATGAAGTCCAGGGTATTTGGCAGGTGTGACTACTGTGATGTTCTGGGAAATAACTTTTGCCTGTGGACTTCTCACACGCAACGAGACGTTATCAGCCGAAACTGAGCACATGTACATTGTACATAATATAGTGGTGACTTTTAGAAGCCATTCACATTCACCTTTACAAACCTGATTTACTCAATCTGCGGACAGCATGCTGTTTCGTTCTTTGTGAACTCATCAGCGCAGCGCAGAGAAAATGAGGCCGAACCTGATAGCAATGAAATCGCAAACCTGATTTGTGTGTACAAAAAGAAAGTGTCAACACACTCTAACCTAATGTAGTACATTGTGGGTTTGATGTTGTCACTGTTGTCCCCCTGTTCACTGCTCCTGATATAGTCTCATGCGATTCTTTGTCCTTCTAGCCTGAGCAGGATGTGTTCCCTGGTGTGATGTGCCCTTTCCGTGCTTCTTGCTAGCTCTATTTAGTGATATTTTAGTTCTTTATTTCTCTCGCCTCTTCCTCCTCCATAATAAAAGTGTATGATTAGTATTTCATCCATTGTTACGTGCGCTCAC